CCATGATCTTGCATACTATGCACATCAGTGACACTGGTCTGTAACTTAATGCTTCATGTCTGTTTCCTTATTTAAAAATTGGGGCTACATTTGCTGTCTTCCATCTTCAGCTAGTCGCCCTGTTTCGATAGATGTGTTGAAGATAGTTGTTAGTGGTACACATAGCACCTCTGCTCCCTCTCTCAGGACCCACAGAGAGATGTTATACAGCCCTATCGCCTTTGAGGTATCTAGCTCGCTTAACAGCCTCTTCACTTCTTCCTTGGTTGTATGTATTGTGTCTAACACTTGATGGTGTACCCCACCTCTCTGCCTTTCTGGAGGCTCTTCTGTCTCCTCTGTGAACACTTCTTTGAATCTCATGTTGAGCTCCTCACATACTTTGCAGTCATTTTTTGTGACTTCCCCTCCTTCCTTCCTCAGCCTGATTACCTGATCCTTGACTGTTGTTTTCCTCCTGATGTGGCTGTACAACAGCTTAGGGTCAGATTTGGCTTTCACTGCTATGTCATTCTCATATTGTCTTTGGGCCTCCCGTCTTACCTGTGCATATTCATTTCCTGCTCTATGACGGGTCTCCTTATTCTCCTGGGTCCTTTGCCTTCTATACTTCTTCCATTCCCTAGCATACTTTGTTTTGGCCTCTCTGCACCTTTGGGTGAACCACAGGCTCATCCTGCCTTTTTTCATTATTCCTGTTACCCTTAGGTACAAACCTCTCCTCAGCTTCCTTGCATATTGTTTTCACATATTCCATCATCTCGTCCACTGACTTCCCTGCCAGTTCTCTGTCCCACTGAACCCCGTTCAAGAACTTCATGCTTGGTAGTCCCCTTTCTTGTAGTTTGGCTTCACTCATCAGACCCCCCTCCCTGCTTCCCCTTCCACCTGTAACTCTACTATGTATTCAAAGCTTAAAAACCACATGATCACTGGCCCCCAGGAGTCTCTCATATGTGATGTCCTCAATAGCTGCACTATTCAAGGTGAATACTAGGTTCAGTCTCGCTGGTTCATCCTCTCCTCTCTCTCTGGTAGCGTTCCTTACGTGTTGGTACATTGAGTTTTTCCAGTACCACCTTCATCATCTTAGCCCTCCACGTTTCTTGGCCCTCATGTGGCTCCAAGTTTTCCCAATCGATTTCCTTGTGGTTGAAGTTACCCATGATCAGTAGCTTTGCCCTGCTCGCATGAGCCCTTCTGACCACCTCAGCCAGCGTGTCAACCATCGCTCTATTATTCTCATCATACTCTTGCCTTGGCATCCTGCTGTTCTGTGGTGGGTTATACATCACTGCAATTACCACCTTGGGACCTCCAGACTGAAGCATTAGTACTATGTAATCTCTTGCTTCTTGTTACAAATAAGGCAATATCTAATAATGATAGAGATCTCCAGTGAATACTAGAAAGGGCTGCCCTTCTAGCATTCGGCCTGTTACTGGGTTTTGTAACAAGTAGTCAGTATCCTGGTCCAATTATCCATTAGAATTTAATAAGATTCAATAGTGCTTCAGGATTACAACTGGTAGGCTGCTAGCTAAAGAAATTAAAATTTAATAAGTTTATTAATATCAATAAAGTTTCTAGGCGTATAAATTTAAAGTAATCAATTGAATATAATATAGGATACAAGTTCCTACACTTCTCTCGTGTACAGTAGAATTGTGCTGAAGGCACATATCACATCTTTATGACTTTTAAGTACTGTCTGGTACACTGTTAGCATTTAATAACATAGTACAAATATATACAAGTAAGTTTGTGTGTATGTGTGTAAGTGCTCTAAGTAGTTCGCTATGTCTCAAGACTCGACTAGACTTAACCAGTGACTGACTAAAAGTCCTCTCATAAACTAACTTCTTGACCAACCTGGCAATCAGAACAGCTTGCTTGAACAATAAAGCGACTGTTAAGCCGAATGGCAATATAACAAGCAACAGCAACACAGAATCAGGAATAAGGAGATAATATAACAACACTAAGTAGGGACCATCTGCAGATCATCCACAAAAGTCACAAAACTCCCATACTACTGAATCTAAGTTCAGCATTAGAAAATCCCCGACTGTGACAGTACACAGATACCAGTACAAATTAGGTCAGAAGCTACAGCTCAGGACCTGAGTTTCTCAGAGTGTCTATGCGACACACAACCTCAGTACAACGTCGAAAATCACTAAGTTTAGACCATATTCTGTGAACAGAGTTACACAGAACCAACAACAAGAAAGCGACAGAGACGATCTTCCAACAAGGGCCCACAAGGGAGAGCAGTAGAGGGACCTCTTGTTAGAAGCAACGTCCAACCGATAATAAGCTGCTCAAGCCAAGCAGACTACTCCTCCAGGTGAGGTGTGATCACCCCCCCCCCGATCACACGACTCTCCGTGGACTGCTGCTGCCCAGCAACACAGAGAAGCTGGCAGGGAAACAAGTGGAGCGATAGTTAGACAATGCTATCAGCTACTTAACACTCGAACTATGAGCACTGAATAATATATAAATGTTACATCCTACCTAATAATATAACTAAGTCAAATAATAATATAAAGCAATATATTTACGATTTAGCTAATATCACAAATATAGTATAAGCAATATAAAATTATATGAACAGGTAATATACATTATATACATTGTGACCCACTCAGGGGTTGCAACACTTCTCCTCCGTCTCCTCTCTCCACCTTGTCAAAATCCCATCAGTTTTTGATCAGCAGTGCCACTCCTCCACCCGCTCTGTTCCCTCTTGTCTTTCCTCAGGATCTGATATCCCATTGGAAAGATGGCATCTGTTATCATTCCTGTGAGCTTGGTTTCTGTGAGGGCTATGATGTCCGGTGATGCCTCTTTGACTCTTTCATGCCACTCCATTATTTGTTATTCCACCAGCACAAGTGTACCATACCTTCAGTTTCCTTTCCAACACTGTGTTCTGGGGATCTGTGAGGGTGGGGGACCTGGCAGTGTACTGTGGACTTCTACAGCATAGTGTGGGGTGGGGGCTGTGAGTGTGGATTGTGGTCTGTGTTAGGACAGAGTGATTGGTTGTAGGGTTCTGGGGGTGGGTTTGTGTGTGCTTGAACTTGTTGCTCTGCCCTGCTCTGTGTGTGTATGTGTACTCACCTATTTGTGGTTGCAGGGGTCGAGTCTTAGCTCCTGGCCCCGCCTCTTCACCGGCTGCTACTGGGTCCTCTCTCTCCCTGCTCCGTGATCTTTATCAAACTTCGTCTTAAAACTATGTATGGTTCCTGCCTCCACTACGTCACTTTCTAGGCTATTCCACTGCCTGACAACTCTATGACTGAAGAAATACTTTCTAAAATCACTTTGACTCATCTGAGTCTTCAACTTCCAATTGTGACCTCTTGTTTCTGTGTCCCCTCCCTGGAACATCCTGTCTTTGTCCACTTTGTCTATTCCGTGCAGTATTTTATATGTCGTTATCATGTCTCCCTTGACCCTCCTGTCCTCCAGTGTTGTCAGGCAGATTTCCCTTAACCTTTCTTCATAGGACATTCCCCTTAGCTCTGGAACTAACCTTGTCGCAAACTTTTGCACTTTCCCTAATTTCTTGACGTGCTTGATCAAGTGCGGGTTCCAAACAGATGCTGCATACTCCAATATGGGCCTGACGTACACGGTGTACAGTGTCTTGAACGATTCCTTGCTAAGGTATCGGAACGCTGCTCTCAGGTTTGCCAGGCACCCATATGCTGCAGCAGTTATCTGGTTGATGTGTGCCTCTGGAGACATGCTCGGTATTATGGTCACCCCAAGATCTTTCTCCTTGAGTGAGGTCTGTAGTCTTTGTCCACCTAGCCCATACTCTGTCTGCGGTCTTCTTTGCCCTTCCCCAATCCTCATGACTTTGCATTTGGCAGGGTTGAATTTGAGAAGCCAGTTTCTGGACCACATGTCCAGTCTGTCCAGGTGTCTTTGTAGTCCTGCCTGATCCTCATCCGATTTAATTCTTCTCATCAACTTCACATCATCTGCGAACAGGGACACGTCAGAGTCTATCCCTTCCATCATGTCATTCACATATATCAAAAATAGCACTGGTCCTAGAACTGACCCCTGTGGGACCCCGCTCGTCACAGGCGCCCACTGTGATACCTCTTCACGTACCATGACTTGTTGTTGCCTCCCTGTCAGGTATTCTCTGATCCATTGCAGTACCCTCCCTGTTATATGCGCCTGATCCTCCAGCTTCTGCACTAATCTCTTGTGAGGAACTGTGTGTGTATGTGTATGTGTGTATGTAATAATAATAATAATAATAATTTATTTTTACATGATACATAGTTGTACAAAGGAATATAATAGTTGGTGTACAAGCCAAAAGCACCTTTGTACACAGAGCATTTTGGGCAAACTTAAAATTAACTTAAGATTAATAAGACAATAATAGTTCACATGGTCATTAGATGAGTTACAGTGAGTATAAGAGAAATGAGTATTTTAGGTAATGCTATATGGCTTTAGTAAGTTTAGTAGAGAAGTTCAGCAGAGAATAATTACACTAATGAATTAGTTTATAAAAATTGCAGTATTACAAAAGAACAATTTAAAATAATTTACAAAATGATATATTACAATTTAGTACTAGTGTGTGTTTTATATTTATAATGCTCGATGTAAAGGAAGTGTACCACATAATACATTAAAACAAGGTGAGTTGGTACACACACCTTACCCTCTCCAGAGTGTCCTCTTATTTTGAAAGATCAAATATGGTGACCCTAGTTGGTAGTAATAGTAGTGAAACAACCAATGAATCTCTCACACAAAAAATATAATTTATTTTTTTATTATATCTCTGTACTGTTAACCAATCTTTTATTTTTGTATATATGTGCAATACTTTATAGGTTAACAGACTCTAAGATTATCAACCTTGTGCTCTGGTCTCAGCCCAGGCCTCAAATAAAAAATAAATATTAGAGAAATAAGAATTAAGAAGCAAAGGAAAGCAAAGCCAGGTGCTAACCAACCTTTTCATTGTATATTTCCATGTAGGAGACTTCCACCTTGTGTGAGGTGTGGCAACCTGCATCTGCTGCAATTCTCTCAAATAATGTGTCACAGAGGCGAGGGATGAGGCCCTTACTGTCTGCTGCCCCCATCATGGTATATGACTTCCCAGAACCTGAAATATAATTGTATTTAAATATACAATTTATTAAAAACTTAAAATGTCAAAACTTAGTTGCAATACTCATCTAGGGACTAGTACCGAACTTGCACACGAAAATCACTCACTACGAAAGCAAAAGACTTGGCAGACGATGCAACATCCCCCCAATGAAAAGCAGGGGTATCACTAGCACGTTAAGAGACCATACAATAAGTGTCAGGGGCCCGAGACTGTTCAACTGCCTCCCAGCATACAAAAGAGGGATTACCAACAGACCCCTGGCAGTCTTCAAGCTGGCACTGGACAAGCACCTAAAGTCAGTTCCTGACCAGCCGGGCTGTGGCTCGTACGTTGGTTTGCGTGCAGCCAGCAGCAACAGCCTGGTTGATCAGGCTCTGATCCACCAGGAGGCCTGGTCACAGACCAGGCCGCGGGGGCGTTGACCCCCGGAACTCTCTCCAGGTAAACTCCAGGTAACTCCAGGTGTATTAACTGCCTGTAGCTGCTAAAACAAGTACATACATCTAATACGGCTACAGGAGAAAACTTGATATCAGTATTTTGAGATGATCAGTAAAGCTCCAGCTTCTTCTATTACATTGAGAACATAAATAAATGGTTCTTAAAACTGTCAAGTTGAAAAATTAAGACACGTAGAACACTTGGGTATCTTTAAGGATACATATCGCCACACGTTTCTGCCTTGAATCAATGGAATCGACTCTGGGCTAAGGGACTGATTACCTCAAACTCCTGATCTTCACCATTCTTCTTTGTATTGGACTGATGAAGCCACTGTGTGGCAGAACGTTTCCTCAATAAAGATACCCAAGTTTTACACGTGTCTAATTTATACACTGAAAATGTATTGTGGCTACATTACTATTAGGTACTATCCCCTAAGTGAGACCTTTAAGTGATTTCCTGATTTTTTTCTTCCTCCTCTTCAATTTTATTTCTTAACATTTCTCCATCGATATATCTGAAAACTATTTTTTATTATACCAGTGTAACATGAGTTTCTCACAATTTTATTTAAATGACCTTTCAATATTTTGTCATACAGTCTATACAGAGGAACCTCTACTTGCAAGCGTGTCCACGTGCAAGTTTTTCCAAATACGAGCAGTCGATGAGTTGATTTTTTGCTTCCATACGCGAGCAAAATTTCCACAAGCGAGCAGACCTCAAGGCAGGTTCCTTGACACTGGTGAGGAGCTCTTGCTCTTGATCTCGGGAATTGTATCTCATTTGTTTGTTGGGCTATCTTATTGAAACTTGGGCAATATATGATGGAAAGATGCTTCTTAATGTACACCAAAAATTAAAGAAATCTAAGCATAAATAATGGAGTTCACTTCTCGGCAATTAGCCACCCCTTAGTGGTAATTTCTAATGGTTTTTATGATTGTATTCTCGTTTTTTGGTCTCATTTGATAGAATGGAACGATATATTACAGAAATAGATATGATTTTGATTGCTTTCATGACGAAAAGTGTCTTGAAATTGAGCTCAACCTAGGACAAATGCTCCATTGCTTGGCTGTTTCAGAGTAAACAAATGACGTCACTATCAATTCCAATATGCAGTCGTGAATGGGTTGACATTATACAATTATTGCAATAAGGAATAACAGTAAATCTTATATTTTTTGTGTGAACAAAAATTACAAATTATTTATATAATAATAATAATAATAATAATAATAATAATAATAATAATAATATGTATAATAATAATAATAATAATAATAATAATAATAATAATAATAATATGTATAATAATAATACATATATAATAATAATGTACTACATTTTTTTTTTAACAAGTCGGCCATCTCCCACCGAGGCAGAGTGACCCAAAAAAGAAAGAAAATCCCCAAAAAGAAAATACTTTCATCATCATTCAACACTTTCACTTCACTCACACATAATCACTGTTTATGCAGAGGTGCTCAGAACACAACAGCTTAGAAGCATATACCTATAAAGATACACAAACATATCCCTCCAAACTGCTAATATCCCGAACCCCTCCTTTAGAGTGCAGGTACTGTACTTCCCATTTCCAGGACTCAAGTCCGGCTATATAAAATAACCAGTTTCCCTGAATCCCTTCACTAAATATTACCCTGCTGACACTCCAACACATCGTCAGGTCCCAAATACCATTCGTCTCCATTCCCTCCTATCTAACACGCTCACACACGCTTGCTGGAAGTCCAAGCCCCTCGCCCACAAAACCTCCTTCACCCCTTCCCTCCAACCTTTTCGAGGACAACCCCTACCCCGCCTTTCTTCCCCTACAGATTTATATGCTCTCCATGTCATTCTACTTTGATACATTCTCTCTAAATGACCAAACCACCTCAACAACCCCTCTTCTGCCCTCTGACTAATACTTTTATTAACTCCACACCTTCTCCTAATTTCCACACTCCAAATTTTCTGCATAATATTTACACCATACATTGCCCTTAGACAGGACATCTCCACTGCTTCCAACCGCTCCCTCGCTGCTGCATTCACAACCCAAGCTTCACACCCATATAAGAGTGTTGGTACTACTATACTTTCATACATTCCCTTCTTTGCCTCCATAGATAATGTTTTTTGCCTCAAATGATGTAGTGGAAGTTTTAGCAGTAAAGATCGAGAACCAAAACCTAGTCATTGTGGTAGTCTACAAGCCTCCGGATGCAACGTCCAGCAATTCCAGGAACAGCTGTTAAAAATTGACCACTGTCTGGAAAATCTGCCAGCTCCTGCCCCCAACATCTTGCTCCTGGGGGATTTCAACTTAAGGCACCTAAAATGGAGGAATATAGCAAATAATGTTGTTGCAGTGATAACACCAGGAGGCAGCTCTGACGAGAACTCACACACACACGAGCTTTTAAATCTCTGCACAAAATTCAATTTAAACTAGCAAATAATAGAGCCTACTAGACTGGAGAATACACTAGACCTCATCTTCACTAACAATGATGATCTGATACAAAATGTCACCATATCAAAAACAATATACTCAGATCACAACATAATCGAGGTTCAGACATGTATGAGCGGAGCCCCAGACCAACATAATGAGATTAGTCACGAGGGAGCATTCACCAAATTCAACTTCAATAACAAAAACATAAAGTGGGACCAAGTAAACCAAGTCCTAACCGATATAACCTGGGAAGATAGACTAAGCAACACAGACCCCAACTTATGCCTAGAACAGATTAACTGGTGGCACTCGATGTATGCACAAGGCTTATTCCTCTAAGAAAAAGGAGTAGTAGATGTAAAATAGAAAGAGACAGGTGCTCCCTTTACAGGCGATGGAAAAGAATAACAGAGAGGCTAAAAGAGGCCATTATATCTGAAATGTGTAGGGAGTCACTGGTCAGAGAAATAGCAAACATCGAAGTTAAGCTAAAGGAATCTTATAGGAATCAAGAATCGCGGGAAAAACTAAAAGCCATAAATGAAATCGAAAGAAACCCAAAGTATTTCTTTTCCTATGCCAAATCAAAGTCGAGAACAACGTCCAGTATTGGGCCCCTACTTAAACAAGATGGGTCCTACACAGATGACAGCAAGGAAATGAGTGAGCTACTCAAGTCCCAATATGACTCAGTTTTTAGCAAGCCGCTAACCAGACTGAGAGTCGAAGATCAAAATGAGTTTTTTATGAGAGAGCCACAGAATTTGGTTAACACAAGCCTATCTGAGTTATCCTGACGCCAAATGACTTCAAACAGGCGATAAATGACATGCCCATGCACTCTGCCCCAGGGCCAGACTCATGGAACTCCGTGTTCATCAGGAACTGCAAGAAGCCCCTATCTCGAGCTTTTACCATCCTATGGAGAGGGAGCATGGACACGGGGGTCGTCCCACAGTTACTAAAAACAACAGACATAGCCCCACTCCACAAAGGGGGCAGTAAAGCAATAGCAAAGAACTACAGACCAATACCACTAACATCCCATATCATAAAAATCTCTGAAAGGGTCGTAAGAAGCCCATCAATTACACAACCCAAGGCAGCATGGGTTTAGAACAGGTCGCTCCTGTCTGTCTCAACTATTGGATCACTACGGTAAGGTCCTAGATGCACTAGAAGACAAAAAGAATGCAGATGTAATATATACAGACTTTGCAAAAGCCTTCGACAAGTGTGACCATGGCATAATAGCGCACAAAATGCGTGCTAAAGGAATAACAGGAAAAGTTGGTAGACAGATCTATAATTTCCTCACAAACAGAACACAAAGAGTAGTAGTCAACAGAGTAAAGTCCGAGGCAGCTACGGTGAAAAGCTCTGTTCCACAAGGCACAGTACTCGTTCCCATCTTGTTTCTCATCCTCATATCTGACATAGACAAGGATGTCAGCCACAGCACCGTGTCTTCCTTTGCAGATGACACCCGAATCTGCATGACAGTGTCTTCCATTGCAGACACTGCAAGGCTCCTAGGGATGCCAAGCCCATGATGACACTCTTCAGGTCACTTGTTCTATCTAGGCTGGAATATTGCTGCACACTAACAGCACCTTTCAAGGCAGGTGAAATTGCTGACCTAGAAAATGTACAGAGAACCTTCACGGCGCGCATAACGGAGATAAAACACCTCAATTACTGGGAGCGCTTGAGGTTCCTGAACCTGTATTCCCTGGAACGCAGGCGGGAGATACATGATTATATACACCTGGAAAATCCTAGAGGGACTAGTACCGAACTTGCACACGAAAATCACTCACTACGAAAGCAAAAGACTTGGCAGACGATGCAACATCCCCCCAATGAAAAGCAGGGGTGTCACTAGCACGTTAAGAGACCATACAGTAAGTGTCAGGGGCCCGAGACTGTTCAACTGCCTCCCAGCATACATAAGGGGGATTACCAATAGACCCCTGGCAGTCTTCAAGCTGGCACTGGACAAGCACCTAAAGTCGGTACCTGACCAGCCGGGCTGTGGCTCGTACGTTGGTTTGCGTGCAGCCAGCAGTAACAGCCT